AATTTCAGCTTATGTTTTAGAAAGAAAACCACAGGAAGTAGTGATAAGGACTGAGATTCAGGGCTGTGAGGCGACGCCTCTTAGGGGAGGCTTCCCCTAGGCAGTGTCATGTTGAAACTGAGCCTGGAGGCTGAGAGGGAGGAGACCAGTCCTCCATTTTTACCATTAGCAGAGGCAGCATCATATATAATGATTATTATGGGCCAGATTCTATATTTATCTTTTAAGTCATTCTCCTCCTACTAGTGACAAGGTCCAGGATTATCTCCATTTTACAGCAGATACTACCAAGGCTCAGAGAGGTTAAGCAACTGGCTCACAATCACATAGCTTCTAAGTGGCAGAGCTGTAAAAGCAGCATGAGTCTGAGTCCAGAGCTCGCTGTGAGCCTTTCTTCTGCCCTCTGCTGCCTGTCTCTTCCTCAGGCTGCCATTAGGGACAAGGATCTACTTAGACTTGAGCCCCTATCCTTTACTCTGCCAGACTGACAACTGACTGATGATTTATTAGGTTGACAGGTGCCCCAATGCAGTCATTATTTCAGAGAGGGTGAGCTAGGCAGCCAGACTAGAGACATACCCTGCCTCCCCCTGCCAGTGCCAAAATAATGAGGGCATTTCTCTGAGGTGCCAGTACCTATGCCAGTACAAATGCCTTGAAGCATTTGCCCATCTTTAGAGAGTGGTTGTCAGGTGCTCTAGTGCTGTTTTGTGAATTACTCTCTCACATACAGTGCCTGCATTCCTTACTCTCTCACATACAGTGCCTTCATTCCTCAAGCAGCCACTTTTTCTGAGCCATCCTCTGCTGTGTACATTGTTGTCAATCCTTTATTTGGGGTTATGGATCAATGTGATCACATTCACTTTTCATTTTTCTTTTTTTTCTTTTTTTTTTCACTTTTCATTTTTCAAAAATACTTTCCAAAAAGTCTCATTGGCTAAAAAACCTCCCCCCACCACTCTTGTAAGCAATATCTTAGCTCTTACACTGCATTGCTGTCATTTTGCTTGGACTTTGGGAAGGAGGGGAGGAAACAAGTAAACTCCATCCATCCTCTTGAACTAAAAATCAGAGCATCTGGACTCCTAGTGTGGTGGAAACCATGTCCTTCTGGGACATGCAGGTGCAGTGAGGAGCCAGTACCCACAGGCTCCTGAAACTTTGTGTTTTGGAAGCAGGGAGAAAGGTGGGGTTCATTTGACCTCGGGGCGGGGGGCGGGTTGAGAACCTTTCTCTGGGGAGGTGACAATATACTTGAGACTTTATTGTTGGGGTATGGTTTTCCCAGGCAAGGTCTTCTACATTCAGTATCTCAACCATACTTTTCTCTTCACAAATAAGTTCTCATCACCATCTTGTTAGCCTCATACAATAGTATCCAGCAACTCTTGAGTGTTGAACGATAAGATGAAGCTAGACAGTACCAGGGATATGCAAGAAGCAGGAAAGGCTGATCATGTTACACTTCATTTCTCAATTAAAATAGTTTCATCTGAGCTCATGTTTAGCTTCCAGTGTACTTGCCATAAGAAGATGGCAGAAGCCCTCACTCCCTCAGTGTAGGTCTGGCACGATGCTTGAGGAAACGAGGCCTCAGGGCATATGTACAGGTCTTTTGAGTGAGAGAAAATCATGGACTCCACCTCCATCCTGTCCAAACATAGTCCAAATCAACACGGTCTACATCTCAAAATACATTTAGACATATAGCTCTTACATAATTTAACAAAGCTGGGAAAGTCCAATGCTTACAATAGGCATTATTTATTTAAATTAAATATGTATTTCCCTTGCCCATTGTAGAAAGATCTTTGGATGTATTATTCCAATGGCAGAAATAGCAACAACTAGAATCAAATAATTCTCAGTTCAAAATGTTTTGAAAATGGCTCTAAAAGCTAAATTTATTTGCCAGGACTTATTGAAAAGAGGTGAGCATTCAGTGAGCAGTCCCTTGAGACTGGAATGAAGGCAATTTTTATAATTTTACATCTGTTGTATTTTTCTCCCCTCCCCCCATTTGCTCTTCAAAGGTCTTTACTTTTTCTTCTTATATTTAACTTTCTCCCAGGTATTCCTTATCACTAATATCTCTCTTCACTCTTTCTTGCATTTCTATCTACACTAGGCTACTTCATGTCTATATAACATGGCCATCCATATATGATTTGGAGCAATAAAGGTTTTCACTATACATAAATTTAAGATTTCATAAGTGATTAGTGGATGAACATAAGTGATTAGTGGATGAAATAATATCATATATATGGGTATATATGTGCATATACACACAAATGTATACAAATATATATATTATATATATGTGTGTGTGTATTATATATATATATATCATTTAATAACCCAGAATGAACTAGTTCCCACCACTTCCTTGAGAAATTTAGTCTTACAAATGATAGTGACAATATTTCCTCATCTATAACAATAAGTTAAAAATCTTACTTCTAGCATTTTATATTTACTAAATATCTTAGTGAATTGTGAAATAAGACCCAGTTAGGGGAAGGAGGCCAATGGAGACAAAGGAGAGTCTCCAAAAGTTATTGATTGGTAAGGACATGCACATTTGATGCTTAAAGGCCAGATCAATGATTCATGTTATTAATACTGCAGATGAAAATACCAAGCATCTATAAAGAATTGATTCCTTTTTAAAAAATATTTTCTGTGTATCTACCTACATGCTAAATATGAGGGGAAAAACGGCCTTGTGTCTGGGTTGATTTCTATCTCCTCCCCCATCATACCCCTCCCACCATCGCTTAATTTATTATGGAAAACTTACAGCTCAGAACCCATTCCCTTTCTTGCAACTTTGCTGGTTATTATTCTTTCGGTCTCTTGTCCACTGGGCAACTGTGTGTGTATTGAATTCCCAAGAAACTAATTCTTGGAGGTTCCCTTCCCTTGATGATAGAAGTTGAAAGAGAAAGAGAAAGACTATTGAGAGTCCCCCAGCAGTTCATCAATAACAGGGATGAATTCCTCAGAGGCAAAGAGGGGATCGATGGAAACAGAACTCTAATAGCTAGAAAGCATCTCATTTGTTTCCCCAAAGACTTTGGCATCTGCCAAAACATCTGACTCCAAAAGCCACCCAGAGGTTAGCCAGATTTAGAGAGAGGAGGCTGGAAACGAGTTTGGGATGTGAAGTGCATCCTCTGTGCCAAGCTATGGTGCACGACTGAGGGATCTGTCTTCCCACTCGGTCCTCTTGCCAACTGGAGCTGGTGGATTGTTTAAGCACCTCCAGTCAGTGCCTTGCTGCATTGGAGTTAGTCATGAGCAAAGGACAAGAACCCAAGGGAAGGAATGGAGAGGGCTAAACTGTCATGGGTATGGGAGTGAGTGGGTGGGGTGGGCACTGACATACAGGGAATCCAGAGGAGCAACCATATTTGAAAAGGCACATTTATAGTCTTGGAAGTCAACTCTGTGCTTTGTCTCTGGTGGACACCATTTATATAGATATTCAATACACACAGGCCAGACAGGCGAAATGGTAACCTCTCTTCAGTAAATGCTCTAGTTGTTCAGAGTAAAAATGGTTTGGATTAGCACCCGGGCACTCTGACAAAGGTCTGTAGGGAGTGAGAGGATGTGCCAGCACCATTAGCATTTTTTTCTTCTTTTTCCAGAAGCACTAAAATATGTTTGCCCAAAACAGAGGGAGATGAGAAACTATTGGCAGCCAGTACTTCTTAAAAGAAAAAGAAAAAATGTTTTACTTCTCTGGCAGACATACTAATTAAAACGGTGTTGTATTGTGACAGATTGCTGAGCAATTAATGCCTAATTGAGGATTATGTGAAACCAAGTTTACTGGGGCCAGAGTGACCGAGACTTAGAGCAAAACAAACCTCCAAACTTCCTGCAACACCCTCCCCCCTGAGAAGCCACGAAACCAAAGAAAACATTCTTATTTTGGCTCTCAGATTTACCCTGGGAGGATTGGCTTGACAGAAAGATCCTGACTTGAAAATCCTATTGAGGATTTCATACTTTCCTCATTTGTAAGCAGAATCCTTTTTCCGTGAGATATTTTTAGTGCAAGCATCCCCTCCCGCCCTATTCTGTTACAGTAGACCATTAGATCTTGAAGCCAATCCAAGCAGGTCACGTGACTTCTAAGCATCTCTCTGGTTGTCTCCTAAGTGACTAGTCTCTCAGGAGTCAGGGGAATACTAGACTCGTAACTACCAAAGTCCTTCCCAAAGACTTGAATTCTTATTGATAGGATGTGAAAATGCTTTACAGCTGCTTTTCTAAGAGGTCAGCTGGAGTGACCTCTGTCAGCTGAGTGACCTCAGTCAGGCATTTTCAGCCCCGCAAGCTGCCCATGTATTCGGCTGCAGAACGGCGTGTGTGTGGGAACAGAACAACCACACTATTGAAAGGCAGTCGCAGAGGAACAGTGGTGTCGCTCACATGGGTTTGGTTAATGCGTGCATACTTTTGATAAATTGTTTTTGATTCAGTGGACTCCATGTTTGGGATATGCCAATTTTATTTCTGGAACTTCTGAGCTATGAAAAGTAAAACCTCAATCACTTAGTGAGGTGTGTAGCAGAATTTTCCCCTCATGAAGTATTTACATTTAACAAAAATCATTTTCACTCTTTACATGACACTCATTTGCCTTGGAAAAAATGTCACTGTGATGTCAGATTTTCAGTTGTTTAGTTTGAAAAAGTGATTTATTTCATTGTCTCAGTGGGAAAGATATATTTATTCAGATCTCTGAAACTGGAATCAAAGGGAATCATTGTAATGAACAGGAAACATGCTCTCCAAATGAACTGAGACATGCTCTCTGGTCAAAATGCTCTAATATTCCTGAGTGTGTTCACTCTCAGTGGATTCAATCTTTCCCATCTCTGCATCCAAGCTATTTGGCGCTGATCAGATGACCAGAGCTCAAGGAAGTGATTGGAGCCTGCGCTGGCTGCAGCTGCAATGTGGGCTGTTTTCAGGGACAAGGAGCCACTGTTTTGCAAACATAGCATCAACATAGAAGTTATTCCGTAGGCTGCAGGATGCAGCGATGGGCTGCACTGCCAGCATTGTTCTGCTACAAGCTTTTCGTTCTGTGGTCCAGAGGAGCTGTCCACACATTTGTAGCCGACGCCAGGAGGAACCATCCCACGAAATTCTGCCTCTGGAAAGTGACGATGAAATGAGCAGACCCAGAACCCTCATCATAATGGTATGGTATCTGTGGCAAAGCAGCCACACTTGATTGAACTGTTATTATAGAACAAGGTTGCAATTGAGGGTTCGGGGGTGTTCAGCTTTAGAGAAAGAAATGTGTGACCTAGAGGTTACTAATGCGCTTTAATGTTTGAGGAAAACTGTTCAAAACTGTTTCTATCATTCAGAGAACTGATCTTCTTTCTCTTAGATCTGTTAGGAAAATGTGCAGTTTATCGTTCTATTACAGATTCTTTACTGCCTAACACTTTGTATGCTGTGGTTAACATCTATGCAGAAAAAACAAAAAACAGAAAGCTTTGGAGTTGGTTGAAGTGGATTTTATTTTATAATGCTATTTTGAAAGGGTAGCCCCAAGCAGATTTTTTACATCACATGTAACGCATCAAGTTGGATAGATGTTGGTAGTTAGCTCTAACTTCATGGTATTTGGAGGTTCCAGTTCTCTCCAAAATGCTTAACCTAGGCATAAAATCAGACTAAGTTTTTGAGAATTTTGTGGAATGCATGGTGCTTTCATTAGAAAGCTGTTGCTCACCACTTGCCTGATGACATTTTTGTCTGTGCTTTCATTTATAATAGACAGTGTTACTGCTCCTTTGTACATCTGTTTGATCGGCAAGAATAAAGTGGAGGATAAATTCTTTCCTCATTTCAGGTTCAGGGAGAGATCTGCTTAGTCACTGAAATTCCATTTGAGGTAGAGGTAGTATGCTAAAGTTCCCAAAATTGAGGAGGCATTGAAGTCTGGGTGGTTTCAGTACAATCGACTTTTTTCTCTTAGATTTTAGCGTTCAGATAGCAAGTGAATAATGAATGAAAAATACCTGTTACACTAAAAGTTTTTAAATGAAAGTCATTTGGCTTGGCCTGAGCCTCTAAGTGACAGAAAGCTAAGCTATAACATTTTATGCTAACTTCTTTAACAAAACAATATTTGATTTTTGAAAAGCGATACTGTTCTTGAACTATTTGGCTATGATTATCTCTAAGAGGAAACACTAATTAGGAATAATTTCTTACTCATTACTCATAAGTTTTTACAAATTAAATTTGAAAAGAGTTGCGATCTTTGTTTTTCAGTTGGACTCTTCTCAATAACATTAACATATTCTATATCTATGAGTATTAATCATGCCATCTCAATCTTTAAAAGCCAATTTTTCCTAATTTTACTAATTAAACCATACAATTTTGCAGCTAGAAATTTGAAAAAAAAAGTTGTATCTCAGAGTAACTGAGAAATAAAAAATAATTAATTCACTTAGTAACAATCCCTTGTTTTCTCAAAGCTTTTTCTGTTTTTACCACCTTTATGGACATCAAATGAGGTGATGATGAATTTACTGATGAAGAAAACAGGGGGTCAGAAAGGTTGAATATCTTGTTCACATCACACAGGGCTAAATGCCAGAGCCTCAAGCCACACTTAAAATCAAGGGTTCCAAGAGCCAGTACAATTTCGACTGTTCACACCTCTAAGGAGATAATGGTAAAACTATGTTTTATGAGAAGTCTGGTGGAAATCTTGGACCACTCAGTCATCGGTGCTCAAACAAAGTGTGTGTGCATCTTGAAGGTTTCCTCTGGGCCATTCCAAAATTCACACATTCAACAACTCTGTATTGCCGACTTGCTATGAGCCAATCACTCTTCTAGGTACTTGGAACCCACCCTTGAATAAACCCACCAAAGATCACTGCCCTAAGTTGCAAAGTTTTATGAAGATAGTATATTTTGCAAATCTCGTTCTTATGGAAATGCTTTGTTAGGGTTGTGATGCTTAATGCATAAACTTAAGTCGGTGAAACATTTCCTAATTTCCAAGTTAGTATTTTGAGAACTTGAGTGTGTTTCAAAATCACTTAGAAGTTTTTATTTATACAAATCCTTGAGCACTTGGCCCCCATATCAAAGGTCTGGAGGGGAGCCCAGAAGTCTGCACTTTCAGCAAGCACCCCCAGGTGATTCTGGTGGAGGGGCACCATGGGTGACACTCTGAGAAACATGGCTCTGGAAATAGATAATCCAGACTCTCCACCTCTTATCCTCCTTTAACCTAATATTCTTGTTTTCTTCTCACTCTGGCTCTAAGCTTTTGAACAAACTGATTTTTTTTTTCTCGTCACTCGTTAGTCAGCAAATCGTGTGTGTGTGTGTGTGTGTGTGTGTGTGTGTGTGTGTGTGTGTAAGATCACAGACCCTAGAGTCACAGACTCTAGGCTGGAATCCTGACTTCATCACTTATCAGCTGTGTGGCCTTCCACATGGTATTTAACATCTGTGGCTCTTTTTTTCTCATTTGTGAGATGGAGGTAATGGTTCCATCAGCCCACAGCTATTGTGAGGGTTTAATGAAGTAAAATATATGTTAAGTGCTTAGAATAGTGTCTAGGTATATTAGTAAGATGTTCAGTAAGGGGGATTAGGAACATCCTAACTGAAAAAGTGACATTTGAGGAAAGACCAGAAGGAGGTGAGGGAGTGAGCCATGCCATGCTTGGTGGGGACATGTCTCAGGCTGAAGAGCCAGCCAAGGTGAAAGTCCCTGTTTGGTGAGAAGCCTGGGCTGAGTGTGGAACAGTGAGGAGGCCACTGTGACTGATAGCCACGGAAAAGGTAGCAGAAGGTGAGGTCATGAGATCATTGAGGTAATGGGGGAAGATCATGGCAGGCTTGGCAGGCCATTAGGAAGACTTAGGTTTTTTTCCAAGAGTGAGAAGAGAAGCCATTGGAAGGAGTAGGCACAGAAGTTAAGAGCATGGAATGTGGAGCCAGAATGTCAGGGTTTGAGTCCCATATCTGCCCCTTACTAGGTGTGTGATCTTGACAAAATGACTTGACCTCCTGTGTCTTTGTTTTTTTGTTGCTAAAATACAAAGTAATTGTACCTACTGTGAAAGGTTACTTTGAGAATTCAGTAAGTTCACACTTGCAAAAAGCTTAGACCAGTACCTGGTGGATAGTAAGTACTAGATTAATTATAAGTTCATTAATATACAGGGCCCTGAGCAGGGTAGAAACAGGATATATGGCTGCAGAGGGTCAAGGGTTAAAGCAGGAAGACCATCAACCAGGAAACTATTTCAGTGATCCCAACAAAAGTCCTAATGATCACCATTGAGGTTGTGGGAAGTGGTGGGATTATATATATATATATATATATATATATATATATATATATATATATATCAAGTAGGGCCAGTAGGGTTTGCTTCCAAATTAAACATATGAGTGAAAGAAAGAGAGGAATCAGATATTAATGTTCAGAGTTTTTTGTTTGTTTTTGTTTTATTTATTTGTTCAGTTTTTGACCTGAAGACTGAGTTGCCATTCAGATGGGAAAGACTGCAGAAAATGATTTGGCAAGAAAATCTAAGTTAAAATGTTATGTTTGAGATTCTTGTTGAATCTACATATGGAAATATCATATAGGAAATTAGATATACAAGTCTAAGTTCTGAGGAATGAGATATAATACCCGACGGAACGTAATATCAATTAAATGATTGATGAATGAATAAATGACCTCACTTTTATAATTTTCTATAATACAGTATATAAATCCATTTGTAGTTAATAATAATTTGAGCTATTTCATATTTTTGGAATATGTATTGTTTACATATGTGTCCTGTGAATAAAATGAAGACCAGAGAGGAAAAAAACTGTGAAAATTACTTCAAAGGAAATAAAATGATCTCTCTTCTTACTCTATAATAAATACCCTAATTTAATAAAACTTTTTTATCATAAGGATTTTAACATGTTCTACCCAATTCATCTTTTTAAATGGTTGCATAAGGAAAAAACAACTTCTAAGCATTCTAATTCTGAGTTAATGTTCTTATTTCATTTTACTTGTAGTGAGGTTGAATCTTGAATATACTAGTAAGATTCCCCCATGGGAAAGGAAGCTTGTGTAAATGGAGTGTCACTTTAAATGGTTTGCCGTAGATGGGTGTGAGGTGGGGCTTAATAGCACAGAGAATCTTTGGCAGTCATTTTTCCTCGTGAACTAATTTTGAACTGAATCTCAAAGCCACAGAAAATGGGCAAATGAATTGGATCTTCTCCTTGGGTACAAGAATTAATTGGATGTGATTGGAGGCTTAGTAATTAGTATCACAAATCTTTGGCACAAAGGTTTAGCAAATTCAAATTACATACAGTATCATCTCCTTTATACATAACCTTGCATCTTTCCAGTTCTCCAAATGATACAAATTTAGAAATGATAAGGGATAAAGAAAAATATACAAAATCTAAAAAGAAATATTTAAAAATTTAAATCACCACAATGATAAAGAAAAAAATGAAAAATTGGGCGTGTATGGGGAATATGCAGAAACACTAAAAATGATGGGCAAATTCAACTATTTATAAACATATAAAACTCAACTATATATTAACTATATATATGACACCACACTCTTAGTAGATATGTTTGAGTATGAAGCCATAGTGTGAAGATTAAAAAGATTGTATTATCAAGTAGTAATATATACTTATATGGCTAGAAAAAATAGGCTCAACAAATTGATGGTAGTAACAATAATCCCTTAACTTTCAGAAATAATAAAATACAAAAAGCTTGGTTGTGCTTGTTTTGTTTGTTCCTGTGTTTTCTAGAAGAGTCGATTATAAGGCTAACCTCAAGGACCAGGCTTCAATCAACGTAATGAAATCTTGTGAAAACCACATAACACAATTGAGGATAAAATGAATCTTTTAGCAAACTAAATATGTACACAGTATTTTCATTGAGCTTGAGCAGATTTCTCTGAATAGTTGTTTTATTCTCTCAGATTTTATTTCCATGGAGCTGATTTATTCAGGGGCTAAAGTTTAGGATTTTTAAAATTTATTTCCTATAATCTACTTTATTCTGCTGAAATATATTTTATTTTTTTAAGATTACATCCAACAAATTTAATATACATCAAGTGAGTTTGTCATCCTAAGATGGCCTAAACATCAGAAATTCAGTAGACC